GGAGACATACCTGCCAGTAGACAGTGTAACACCTGTAATCCTCCTGTCAGAGTGTGAACACGTGTTTCTCATGTTTTGGAGACATTAAACTGTTTACAGTTTAGCTGTAATCATTAAACTGTGGCTTGATGTCAGGGATTTGGTGGTTGTGGCTCAGGAAGTGAACATAAATCAATTCATCGTCGTCTGAAGTGATGAAAACATGAACTGATCCAAGTTTGGTAATTTTAAAGGAATGTTAAAGAAAGAAAATCGTTTTTTTAAACAAAAAGATCTGATTACTTATGTTTCTTGTCTTAGTAGCCTGGTCTGCTTTTTACCAATTCAGCTGTGATGATTAAAACAAATCTGAACGTGGCCCTGAAGTATTCCAGTGAAACTTTATGAAAACTTGGGTGGAGTCATGTCACTTCTGGAAAATGAATCCTGGTTTTGGCTCGGAGACGTTTATCAAGCAGGGAGTGTCCAACAGTGTTATCGTTTCATATTCTGCCGAACATTTCCATCCTGATTAAAGACGCCACACATCTGATTTTATACATTAAATCCCCTTAGACAACTCTCTGACAACCAGAGTGATACCCAGGTGCAGTTCTTACGCTAATTTTATATTTTGAACGTTTTTAATAATTCCATTTGGGTCTCAACTCGTCCCAAACGCTTTTAAAAAGTCCCACCCAGTTGTTTTTAGGCAGTAAGTTCACGTTTATCTGTTGCTGTTTCAATAACTGTTACATTCCAGAGGCAATGCGCCGTTACCTAGCAACCCCAGCCAGTTCCAGCCCCGTTACCTAGCAACCCCAGCCAGTTCCAGCCCCGTTACCTAGCAACCCAAGCAGAGCTGGAGCAGGTTTGGTCAGCTGACTGCTGGCCAGCCAATGATGGAGCAGATACATCGTCTGCCTTAGGCTAATCGAATCATTTCTGAAATCGATTATTGAAATAATCGTCAATAAATTTAGAAATCGATTATTAACTGGAGAATACACTAAAAAAAAACCCCAACATATTCAGAGCAATAATTAAGTCAAAAATATATAAAATTTACATACATTTTTGCTCGTTAAAAACACCTTTGTCTGTAAATATGTTTATGGTATTACATTTTAGGGAATACAATGTGTATTTTTCTTACTTAAAAAAGGAATTTAATTATTTTTTTATTTGCCTCTTAATGTAATTCTAGTACTATAAAAAAAAAGCTTAGAGGTTAAATTAAAAATCTGTAGAATGTGACAAATTTTTATTTGATTAATTGATTAATCATCAGAATAACTGAAATAATAACTGAATACTAAATAACTGTTAGTTGCAGACCTACTTAAGCGTTTCAGATCAACAGCATGTCAAATTATGTCACTTAAAGAGGGTGAATATTTATAATAACAAATGTTATGTTTCATATTTTAATTTGTCATTATTTTTGTAGGAATAAGTTTTCTGCTTTTTTTTTTTGGTAAAAGAAAAATGTCAAAAAAAGACAAATTCTGTTAATAATGATTGATTTATAATAGCAGTATAAAAGGTAAAACATCCAAAGGTGTGAATTCTTTATATAGGCACTGAAAGTGTGGAAAAAAGGAAAAGACAAAATCTGGAAGGTGCTAAAAACGTTATTACTTTACGATAAAAAAACAGATGAAATTCAGGAGCGTTAACTTTGGTAATGGGCTCCGCCTCCCTCTGCTGGTCAGTAAATGTACAAATCAAATTCTCCAACATTAAATCATTCAGTCGATGAAAATAACATGAATATATATGAATATATATAGTTTTGTGTTTACGTTCTAAATTTTAATTCTTAGCTTAGATTCAGCAGAAACTTTTTTATTTTAAATCTTCCCTTCAATAAAGTGATAAGTGGAAGATCTAAGTTTTTTTATGACCACAATGTAAAACCCAAAAAATCCCTGAAGCAGCAAATTTCAATAGATTATCTTAACTTAACTGAGATATCTAAAAAGATAACTAGAGATGTTTTTACTAGGAACAAGTCTTTACAGACACACCTAATTGTTTCCTAACAACAGGGCGAGGCAGGAGAGCCATAAACTAAGAGAGAGATAAAACTCGTACCGGACTGGACATACAGTTTATACCTTTTGGTCCCTGAAATACATAAATATACAGTTTACACCAGAGGGTGGAAGGAAAAAGAAAACATTCTTTTATTTTTAGAAAAAAGAATGTTTAGAAAGTTAAATATTTGTTAGAAATCAGGTTTGAAAGTGAGGATGTTGTAGGATGAAACATGGCGTCTTAGTTACTATCTTTTTATGATGTTGAGTGGTAAATACCCACCGCTTAGTCATGTTTCATTGACACTGACTGCGTCATTAGTTACTCTTTCTCACCTTTTTGTCATTTAAATTAACTACAAAAGGTTCTTGGTATATATTACAGTTTTATTTATGTATATCTATTTTTATTGCTGGTGAAGGATTCAGTGTTTGGTCAAATTGAGGGCAATAAACCTGAGAGAGGGGATAAACTTCTGCTGGTTGTTTCACTGAGAGCATAAAAGCAAATGACTAAAACGTGAGCAATCTTCCAAGCAATGAAAATATTTAGAAAGCTTGACCAAAGTGCATCATTCACTATGCTTGTTTTGTACAAAAGGTATAAAAAGGTATAAAATCTAAAGGCTTCAATGCGGATGTTTATGTAACCTTTGTGTCATTTGAGCACAAGAAATCTGAAGAAACAAACAAAACAATATGTAGGGTTCTTCAAGGCTCCATTCACGGGTCACACATATTTAATGTCTACAGATTCCCTGAGTTCAGATATTACAGAATTACATCTCTTATATCAATGCTACTCACCTCTGCAAGGGAAAATGAAAAGGCCATACTTTGACTAGGCAGTTGTGGTTGGCTTCAATGGTAACTAGCTGTGGTACTCAGGGTAGCTTCAGGTGTTTTATTCCCTACATCCTCACAACTACATATTTAGCTCCTATCCTAAGCTTCCTAACAAGATATTTAGCTTGTACATGAACTGTTTAGCTAGCAAGCTAAATGTTTACATCCAAACTACATATTTATGTTAAAATATTTAGATTCAAAGCTTGCTTGCTCAACTTGCAAACAAACTAGTTAGCTTGTCAACTATTTAGCTAGGAGACTAAATATTTCTTTAAAAAAACTAAATATTTAACTTCAAAGCTTGTTAACCTGTTGTTCACAGGTTGTCATTCCAGTCCTCAAGGGCTGCTGTCCTGCAGTGTTTAGATGTGCCACAGGTAAAAAAAAACAGTGGAATGAAATGGCTTAATTACCTCCTCCCTGTGTAGATCGGTTCTCCTTAGCCTTGCTAATGACCTAATTATTCTTTTCAGGTGTGGTGCAGCAGAGGCACATCTAAAAGTTGCAGGACAGCGGCCCTTGAGGACTGGAGTTTGACACCTTTGTCACGAGAGGACCCAAATTTGGGTCCTCTCGTGAATAACAGGTTAACTAAGCTTCTCAATTAAATATTTAGCTCCACACAAAATATTTAGTTAGCAAGCTGAATATTTTTGATTCAAGGCTTGTGAACTAAGTTTTCTAAAACATATTTGGCTTGGTAAATTTACAGCTAGCAAGCTAAATAATTTGCTCCAAACTAAATATATTGTTAGCAAGCTAAATATATTGTTAGCAAGCTAAATATTTAGCTTTAAAGTTGGTTAACTAAGTGTTCTCAATTAAATATTTCACTTTGGCTAATATTTAGATAGCTTGTTGACTATCTAAATAATTTGCTCCAAATAAAATATTTAGTTAGCAAGCTAAATATTTGGTTAGCTAGCTAAATAATTAGCTCCAAACTAAATATTTTGTTAGCAAGCTAAATGTTTAGCTTCAAAGTTGTTTAACTAAGCTTGTCAATTAAATATTTAGCTCCAAACAAAAATATCTAGTTGGCTAACTAAACATATGGCTATCAAGCAAAATAATTTACTCCTAATGAAATATATTGTTGGCAAGCTAAATAATTTTTTTGCCAGATAGATATTTAGCTTCAAAGCTTTTTAAATAAGCTTGCAAAAAACATTTAGCTTGCAAACATTTAGTTAATAAGCTAAATATTTAACTACACATAAAATAGTTGGAAAGCCAATTATAATCAAGCTAAATATTTGGTTAGGAAGCTTAGCTAACAGGCTAAATATTAGCTATGAGCTAAATATGTAGTTTGTTAACTCCATAGACTCTGGAGTAGAAAGAAAGAGAAAAGCTAGTTATTTAAAAAAACAAAATTCCTCGAAACCTTGAAGAATTTCTTATACGGTGTGAAACCAAACTTGAACTTTTGTTTTGTTTTTTTGTAGCACAAAACACAACTTTGGTAGGCATGTTGCCACCAAACTGACAGCACCATGCCAAAGTTAATTAAATCATAAATAATTATGAATGGCAGTCAGTTTTACTATAGTTCACTAACAGCTATATTAATAGACTGCACCTTCGCTTATATTACTGATTAGGTTTCATATAAAACATGTCATCTTCTCTCTTCCTGCCCAGTCCAGTTTTTATCAAATGTGTCAGCTGATATGCGAAGCGTTCACCAGGCTTCTCCTCGACTTTGAATCCTGGAGAAAACCATCCAAGTTTGTCTCATTCCTGTAAACACGCTGCGTTGTAAAACTCTGAGTTGGCATTCCCGTAAAAGATCGACGTGCTGTAAACCTTTGCTCACTGCTGCTTGCTCCATACTTTAACTTTGATGCTTATATGTATATATGATCAGAAACGGGAGAAAAACAACAAAAACATGGAAATCTGGATTTTAAAGCTCTGAAATGAAACATTTTTAATAATAAAAGAGAGGGAAGAAAGGGAAACTGTTTTTATGACAGATTGTGTGTGTGTGTGTGTGTGTGTGTGTGTGTGTGTGTGTGTGTGTATGTGTGTGTGTGTGTGTGTGTGTGTGTGGGTTGGACTTTATCCTGATCTATTTTAACTGTACGACTTTATCAGATTCAGAATCATTGCAGCATAAACAGTCTTCCTCTGACTTTGGTCTTGAGCAGAGCGGCTACATTAAACCCCACCTGGACATTTTGGGTTTCTTTTTTTTAAAAGCTTCATTATTTTTATTTTATTTTTTTAAATAAAAGTCAATCATGATCAGCCGAAACTTTAAGAATGTGTTGGTGGTCTCCATTGGATTTCTGTCTCTGTTTACGGCTTATGGAGGCCTGCAGAGCTTACAGGTAAATGATGCTAAAATGTTTATTTTTATTTCAAAAAGTGCTAAAAATAAAGATTTTAATTAATGCTCATTCATTAAAGAAGGGATTTTTAAGGCTAAATAATCATAAAACCATGTTTGTCACATTACATGAATAAATTCAAGTGTGAAAATGTCAGAAAGTGACACTTTATGATTTACTTAAAATACAAATCTTTAAATTTAATCTAAAAAAAATTATTTTGCTTAAATTTTTACTTTAAGTTCAACTTTACATTAAGTTCTTAACCAGACTCTTTAAGACCCGTCTGGTTTCAGTTCTGACCGTCTGGAAAACAATAATTGATGGGCTGAGTAAAATATTTTATTAAATACACATTTAAATGGAAAACTATTAATACTCTTAATATCTTGTCACATTTCTAATAAAAATTTGTTAATTTAATTTAATTTCCCTTTTGGATTACTGAAGTATTTTTACATTTATTTATTAGTATTGTATCTTATTGGGATTTTTAATATTGTATCAATTAAAGTATTACTGTATTTAATCAATTAGTGTGTTATTAAAGTTAAAGTGTTTTACAAAATAAATATCCGTAAACCAGTGGTTTATTAGGCATAAAAATATTTTTATTGTAAAAAAGATGTCGATAGGCTAAAATCTTTCATTGAATTCACATTTAAATCAGGAAACTATTAATATTCTTCATATTTAACACTAAAATTGTGCATATTATTTTGATTTTCAGTGATATTCCAGCACATATTGTTAAATTTAAATAAAAACCTGTTGTCTCCTTTAAAAACTGATTGGTTTCTGATTTCTACTGTATTTTGTGTGGTGCAGAGCAGCTTGAATGCGGAGCAGGGGATGGGCGTCGCGTCCCTCAGCGTCATCTACGCCGCCATCATCATCTCCTCCATGTTCCTGCCGCCCATCATGATCAAAAACCTGGGCTGCAAATGGACCATCGTCGTGGGAATGGCCTGCTACGTGTCCTACTCATTCGGAAACCTCTACCCTGGATGGTAAAGAGCCGAGTTTTTAAAAAAATCTGACCAGGAGAGGCTGATTAAACCTCTAAAAATCATGAAAATCAACAAACAAATGGAAACTTTAGGACGTTTGAGTCAGAAAATTATGGTGTGGCTTTCATTTTTCTGTGCAGATTCACATAAATTTACAAGATAAGAAATCTTATAGGAAATGTGCAATAAGACAAAACTAATTGAAAAGTGATGTTTTAGCAAGATATAGGAGCTTGTTTAAAGTAAATAATTCCTTAATATTGATGAAAAAACATGGGAAAATGTCTTGTTTTAAGTGAAATAATCTCCCAATGGAACTAGAACTTTTTTCATCCATATTAGTTTCACATATCATCTTGAAATATTTTTTAATATTATTATTACGAACATTATTATTGTTTTGTTTTGTTTTTTTATTTGTAATTTCTCAAATCTACCTCAAAAACAAATTTGGATTTGGATAAAAATTTGGTTAATTTTATGCTAAATGATGTATTTTATTTTTATTTTATGTTAAAAGCCGTTAAATTGCAAAGTTACATTTATTTAAAGTCATGTTTGATGAATTAATCATTTTTATAACAACTGAAGGCAACATGGTTACTTGATTGTGCTATAAAATTATATGATGTGCCCAGAAAACACATAATAGCTCCTCTTTAAAGGTAATTTTATCCCTTTTTTCTAAACTCCCTCAAATGTATTTAATTTTTCTGTTGTTTCTGTCTGCAATGTGATTATAATTAGCATATTTTATAGATTTAAACAAAATAATTTGAGGGAAAAGCCCACAAAAACACCTAAAAGTGAATTTTTTTGA